CAGTCGGCAAATTTAAATTTTCGCCAGTGCTGTGGCGCTTCAATCTTTGGCTATGTCTTGGGCTACTCAAATATTTTACGTTTTTGATACTAAATTAACATCTGAAGCATAATTTTTTATTATTTTTATATTTTTCAATATATTTATTTTGTTTGTACAAAATAAAAAAATAATTTTTAATGATACAATAGTCTTTGTTAGGCTTAACATAAACGAAAATTCAACGCGAAGCGATATGCAACGGAGAAAAATTTCAACATCGGATACGTTATTGGATTTGGATTGGTATTGGATACGTTAAACTATTTTTTGTACGTAAATTAGTTATCCGAAATATCAGTTATCCAGACTACCCCAGTCCCCAATTGATTCGGAAAATCGACGCTCTACTGTAAATGAATAAATGAGGATGTATGTTTGTATTCCTACTTAGTTTGACCAATTGCTACGAAACTCAACATTTACCAGACAATCAGCATTTACAATTGCCCTAGATTATTGATTTAAATTTCTATATATCAATTCATTTCTGTCTACATTTGATTTGCTGAGCTTACACACACAGCCATCTATTGGCAAAAAAATTTTTTTAAATAATAAATATAATTCTTAAAATGGATATAATTTTTAAAAATGTTATTTTCACATTGTAATTACATGAATATGACATAGCATGAAACAGACATGCTAGACCTGTAACATTACTGCGACAGGTAGTGCACAACACTTGATTCCACATAGTCAATTACTACCTTGTGAAAAGTCTAAAAGTACAGGGTGTCCGAGAAAGATCTTTATCATTCTAAACATGAATAATAAAAATACTAACAGGTGAAATGAAATGCAGTTTGCTGCAAAAGAAATAAGATATCTAAGAGTTTTTTCTGGTGTCAATTGCCTGAGGTAGATGGATTAATTGGTCGTGGAGGACCCATATCTTGGTCTCTGTGATCGCCCAACATAACTCCACTGGATATCTTTTTTTTTGGTTATGTTAAAGACAGGGTTTATCAAACACCTGTTCCTGATATATCCGTTTTAAAGGAAAGGATACAATTAGCAATCCTCACTGTTATGTGGGGGCCGAGGGGGGAGAAATTTTTAAAAAATATTAACGATAATATGTGATATCTATCATCATCTATCATTGATACCAGAAAAAACTCTTAGATGTCTTAATTCTTTTGCAGCAAACTGCATTTCATTTCACCTGTTAGTATTTTTATTATTCATGTTTAGAATGATAAAGATCTTTCTCGGACACCCTGTATTTAATTTTTCACATCTAACAACTTAGGGTTTTCATTTATGAATGATACTTTCTTAATTTTAATAAGTGCCCTCCAGTAGCAGAATGCATAAAACTGTCAAACACTGAATAGTTAGTTGTGGGTTCAGGCATAGCCAACTGGTTGGCCACATGGAGTTTTTATGGATTTTCTTCATGTTATGTAAAGCTAGTCCCTATTTAGTTGTTACTAAGTCTTCCCGGGATGCATTCCCCTTGGTAGATCACTCATGTCGTGTTGCCAACCAAATAAACCAAACTAATTCTAATAATTTTTCTATAAATGCAAGATTTATGAGAACACACTTCCCATATAGTTCATACAATCTGCTGCAAAAATATAATTTAAATATAAAAAAATACACTTTGTTATCACATAAAAGGAATTATTCTAGCATTTTTTACAAGATTCTTTTATTTAAACAAGGCTTATATGAAGTCTTTTGGACATTAAGATTAGCAACTTTGATCATATGTGGGCCATCATAACCTGTTTATTAGTAGTCCTTTTGGTCAAATTAACTTCAACATCCATCTGCAACAGTCCCTTCTTATTGGGCCAGTGGTATGGTGGCATTCAAATAGGAAAATTACAAATAAGAGGTTACTGGTGAGCATAAAATGTTCAAGTGGTTTTTTGAGGGTGCCGAGTTTAAATATTTGGTCTTTTTTTGCAAAATTTGATTAGTTGGCAAATTACTATTTGATATTTGGGTGTGAATGGTACAATTTCTTACGGTTAATGTTAGGAAAAAAAATGTGTGTTCTGATATCCTTTTGTTTGTTAGTAGATGTTTTGAAGTGTTGTTGTTGTTATCTGAAATTTTCTCTTGAAAATATTTTTTATATTAAAGACTGTGTCTGTCTGAATTTTGAAATTAAAAAAAATTAAGTGTTGTTATTAAAATTTTATTGCCATATTATTTGCTGGTTTTGAATTTTAATGCATATTTTTTCTTATTTTAATACTAAAACTACTTACTGCCTATATTTTTAGTTTGAATGATGGAAATCAGAGAAATCCTACGGATAACAAGAATTTACAGCAAACTCAAGCTCAAGTGGATGAGGTAATATTTCTGTTAGTTGTTTAAAAAATTATAATTTGAAATAATCTTTTACATAACCAAAATCTTAACAGATTTTAACAAATATACTAAAATTAAATGTAAAATTTTTAATAAATTTAAAATAAAGGCTGATTCATACTTCATGAGAACAGAAAAGAGAAAATGGAACTAAATAGTTTTGAGCACTACACTTCATGCATTATTGGTGATACACCTCTGTCCTCTCTTTGGTTAGGAAGAAAAGTTGACAGTTCTACTTTACTTTTCTGTAACGAGTCCACAATTCTTTGCATCCTTGAACACATTGATAAAATTGAAATGATTTGAATTAGAGTAGAATATTCTTTGATGAATTGTAATTCCTCATTTAAATATCTTACCTGTTAGAATTTAATTAATGTATCTTTTCATATATATTTAATCTTATCTAAAATATTGAAAATGCACTTTGGTATCATCAAACTTAATCTTTAATAATGTTGTTCTTTCTTCTCCCAAATTAACTACATATACTTTTTTAAGCATTTTGACTTTGGTATGCTTTCAAAGCATGCTTTTTGTTTATAGCTAAGAGGCATATTTTAAACTGGGTACCAAAAGTACATGCACATTTATTTTGAAGTATGGCTGCTTAGGAGAATCATAGAAAAGAAATTGTGAAAAAATGATAGCTGAATTCAAAATTATTTCAATGTAATCACTACAGTTTATTGAATGTTGAATGGTATTAATTAATGTCACAATTCAGTTGATTTCTTCAAAAATAAATTTTATTATAATTTCAAACTATACCTTTGATATTGTCATAATATCAGAAAATCCTTTGTAAAAATGTTCATATATTTATATATTGTTGAAAGTTAAATATGTGAAAGTGTAAAATTGTAACTGAAAATTAAGAATATAAATTGATTATTAGATTTACTACCTAAAATATTTATCATATTTAAAACTTGATGTGACTAAATTTATGGGCAATTTTATAAAAAAAAAAACTTTTTGAATTTGTAAAAATTAATCTAATGCAAATAAAACTATTAGTCAAAATTTTTATAAGTTATGCCATAAGGTGAATTAGCTATGTAAAGCAAATGGTAGCTAGCAAAACATTATCAAATGAAAAATTCACTGATGTGCTGATATAAAAATTTACAGATTACAGTTGGTGATAGTGTACAGTAATGCCTTCATATATTTAAGACAACTCATAATCTCAACTGCAATTATGCTTTTTTAAACAGATAACAACAAAATGCAAAGCTAATTCCTTGTTTATCTTATTCTACAATTTTTAAATATGGTTAAACTGTATAAAAGTTTGTTAGAAATGAAAAATGCATTTTACAATATTGACCAAGTCAAGTAATGGTTTTTCAATTACTGTAATCTTTGAAGTACAGTCTATGTACAGCTTATATGTTGGTTTTTACATTGGGAAAGAGATTGTGGCTTGTACAAAAGTGCAGCTTATGTGGAAGATTTCCATAATTTACAAATTACTAAGCAGGTGGTAGCATCGTTTGAACTAGTGGTGTTTGATATTGAATAATTGACTATTGAATACTAGATAATATCACTATGAATGCTAGATAATATCATTATTGCTGTTCAATATTACTGATATCAGAAATTATAAAATTTAACAATTAATTTAATGGTCCAATGCTAATGAACATTGAAATTGTCAATGAAGTTCATTTGTTGTAATGTTATTAAATGATGATTTAGAACTATTGCTTTTAATAAACATTTGTGTTCTTAACATTTTTTGTCAGCAACTTAAAGTTGATTCAATAACATAAAGGTGAATAATAAATATTTCCTTCCTGTAATTTTATGTGATTATGAATATATTATTTGGACAATTTTTCTAAGTTTGTTAGTGTATAAGTTAATTTTTAAATATTTAATAATTCAATAATTTCAATTAACATTTTTGTTATATATTGCTCCTGTATCATGTAGCTAAATTCTTATATTATCAAATTTACTTTGTCATGTAACTTTAAAATTATTGCCTTTTATTAAGCATTAACAAAGGATAATTTATAATTTTGTTAATAGTAAAGCATAAATTTTGTTCATGTCTAGATATTTGCATTTATAATTTCAGATTAGGCAAAATTTAAATTTTTAAATTGTGTGTGAACAGATTGAGTAACAGATTTAAAAATTTGGTAATTGTATTCATGATAATCATTGCCAGTAAATACTGTACATAATAACATTAATTTTCACAACTGCAACTATAAATATTTAAGTGTTTCAAAATTATTATAACTTTAAAATATCAGAATAGTAGTGATAAATTGTGTTAAAAGATAATTCCTTTTTATTATGAGCTAAATTATCCTTTGTTCATTTTTATTCTCCATTATTTTTAAGTATTTCAATTTTTCAAAATTTAAATTTTATAATTGTTTTTTTCTGTGAAATGTTTACTCCATCACATTTTAAGTTACTTTTGAAATAGTTTAAAAATTTGATAAAGGAAATTAAATTTTTGTATAATTAATCTCATTTATGTTTTATAAAACAGTGACCATGAACTTTTCAATTGTAATTTAATCTAATTTTTTAAATAATTTTTTCTTTTATGCAATTACAAGGAAAAATTTCAGCTAATGTAAGTTAGTGTATATATGAATTCATATAAATTGTCAAACTTTATTACATTTATTACTTTAAATAATGAAAAGTTTGTAGCATAACAGTGATTCTGATTAGTCCTGTTTTTCAATAAACTGTGCCAACAGCAATTGCTGACTATATTTCCTTAACTTTTCTTCTTGAGAGAGCAATTATCCAATTTATCATATGATTAAACTTATGTTAAAATTCATTCTCCTAATTTTTATCAATCATTTTTTGTGTAGTTTTAAAATTTAGTTTTGCAAGAATCTGAAGTGTATTCCAAGATTAGATTACTTAGTTCAAAATTACACAATTTTTTTTTCTGCGTTCATTTTATAAAGAAAAGTAAGATTGTAATTAAAATTTTAAATAATTGATAAATCTCTTGTAAGAGATGTTTTTATGTACAAGGTTTGTATTTCTAACATATCATTTTCAAAATTTCTTTTCAATCTATTTCAAATAATTATTTAATTTATTTTGGGAAAGTTTCAGCGAATTTTCTTCTTCACATATTTTATTTAGATTTTTCTTTAGAAAAACATCAGTTACCCTAAACAGAAGCCTTTTGTTAGATTTTCAGATTATATTTAGGCTAATTTTAATTATTTACTAAAATTTGGCCTAAAAATTGTATTGTCATCTTATACATGTATTAAAAATTCTAAAATTTTAACCATAATGATTATCAGTAAATTCAAATTGATCTTTGCTTTTATACATAATAAAGCATCTGACAAGAAATCTGGATAGCATAACTATTAGGTAACATGCCTGTCTGAAAATTCATGTCTTGGGAACAAGTCTCTTTGGATCTTTTCTTTGTTTTAAAAATTGTTTTAATTAAAATTCAAAATTTTTAATTGCTACACTTTATAAATATTGACAAAAAAAAACTCTCCAAATTTCAACAATATGGTTTAAACAAACTGAAATAGCTAGTTTATTTCAGTAATTGGTTTAGGTTTCAGTTTGAGATAGTGCTTTTATTTTTAAAGTTTAAAACTTGCAATTTTTGTAAGTGCAAAATTATCGTCAATAACATTTTAATTAATCCTGATTGTTTATCTTTTAAACTAATTTAAAAAATGATTGAAGTTGCAAAATAACAATTCTTTCCACAAATGATATTCTTATTGCATAAAAATGCTATTATAAAACTGAGAATTGCTTTAAAAACAATTGAGTAAAAAGTTTACAAATTTATAAAAAGCTGGAAAAGGCTCTTGCTTGACTTTCCTGGCACACATACAGGAGATTAATGAGACTATTAGAAAATCTGATTTTACAATTACACTAAGGTATAAAATTTAAATAATAAAAGCTTGAAGAGTAATTTTGTTGAATTATGAAAAATTTCTCAATTAAAAAAAATTAAGTTTAAAAAACACACTAGCTCAGTTAAAATTTCATATCAATAGATGGCACCCCATACAATTTTATTGAAAATGATTTTTATATTATCAATTATTGTAAAGAAGGCAAAAGGCTTAATTTTGAGGATAGATGAGTTTTTAATAAAAAGTTGTAAATGCTAATTGTGGAATTTTCATTAAGCCAAATCCCTCTTTGATCTTTTAATTATCAAAATTTAATAGTATCAATACCCCACATAACCTGCCAAGTTTCAAAATGTTTGGTTTATCCAGTCTATCTCAGGACTGGATGAACTAAATGAGATATAAGGCAAAATAGATGCACATTGCAAAAAAAATCCTTACAATATTTTTTATTTTTTTTGGACTCCTTGAGAATGCAAAACAGCCAGTGGAATCAAAATTTGATCAATCATCATACTTTTTCTGTTATATTCTATAACAGCTGAGAAAATAAAAAATCGTATTTTAAATTGGCATAGCAAAAGTTTGTTTAAAAACTTGGTTCCTCACTTTGTTGTCTAATTGTACTGTACAAGTGTCAGAATAAGAAAATATATTTTGCAATTGCTTTTATTCTCATATAGGAATTGTCAATAAAAATATATTTGTGTGTATGTAAATATATATTTAATGCATTCTATGAAATTAAAACATAATTTGAGTATTATTTATATAAATATATTTATTTTTTTGTAATAGTAAATCTACTTTAAAGTATACTTGGTGTTCTTTTGAATTTTTTACATTATTTACATTGAATTTTACTTTTTAAAAGATTAGTTTATTAACAGTTTAGTTTATTCTGTTAGGTTGTTGGTATAATGCGTGTAAATATTGAAAAAGTATTGGAGAGAGATGAAAGATTAACAGAATTAGATGGCCGTGCAGGTAAATCATTTAAAGTTTTCTTTATGAAAAATATTACTATGAATTTGAATTTAATAATAAATTATAAATTTATTACTATAAATTTGGAAATTTTTATATTTTAGTAAATGTAAATTATTTGCAATTTTTATGAATGTAGTACTAATTATTTCAAACATTGTAATTTTGTTGTTTACAATGCAATGTATTCATTAAGTTTGAATGCTGGTCTATACACCAGTGAATCTAGAAAAACTGTTTTGAACAGTTGCCAGATTAATAGAAGTCTACAACATGCAACATTTTTGTTAGTTAGGACTAGTTTAATGCAGTTAGGGTCTTGTATATCCTGTGATAATTCTATTGTTTAATAGATTGTACAATAAACCGTGCTGTTGGAATGGTCATTCCTGTATAGCCAATCATTTTAAGCAGTGTCCTTACAGTAGTCATAAGTCTAATATACAGTGATCCCTCTGGAAATTCAAAACATTTTGCCAGTTGTTTGCCACTTTTAATTTTGTATCACATCATCACAATCTTCTCTTTACTTCTTTACTCATTATTCCATGCAAATGACAAATGTTCATGGGAGCATTTCACACAGATGAATGCATTGTCTCACCTGTTATTTTGATGATTAACAAATTTTTTAGGTTTGTTGAACTATACATTTGTTCAAAAAACAAATTTGTTGAACTAGTTAACTGTTTTCTGTTGACTCTCACAAATCTGAGTTTTTACTACCTTTGTGTTTGTTGCAAAAATTTATTTTTTATAATGGAGATTATCTTGTTAAGTAACTTAAATAATATGTAGAGGGGATGTCACACCAACAATTTTACTGGTTCAAGAGAAAAATTCACATAAAGGTATTAAAGAACATTTTAAGAAACATTTTAATATCCTGTTAGTTCTTTTGTTGTATTTATAAACGTCATCTTTGGGTAGAACCAGAATCAAATAGGTTTTCAATTTGACGTATTTTTAGGCAAAATGCATTACTTTTAACCATCACCTCTCACACTAGTCTGAGGAGGCTTTTATATAATGACAGTGATGTGGTTTCAATCCTAGAAAAGTCAGGCGCATATTCTATTCTGTTGGAAAACTCAATGTCTGGGGGGATACCCACTATACAGAGGCAACCACCAGAATGCTATCCAGCTGCATAACAGAGCACCAACGTTCTGTCGCAGGGGACAGCTGTGATACCGAACTATCTAAGTGGGATGTGATGGTGCAGCAGCACCACCACATCCCACTTTGGGACTGTGTGGTGATGCTCAGGTGTTGTGAGGAATGGAATTTGGTATACATTTGGGAGGCCCTCTTCACCACTCTGTTGTCTCCTTGCAACTCTCCTACCCTTGAGTTGCCCAGGATTTGGATCAGTTTATACAAAGAACTAAAACACCTGCATTAGCTTCATTTCTATACCCCTACTTTCTCTGCACAGTAATGTGCATGCACGACGATATTTTATTATTTTTAAACCTTTTGGTAAAAACGGCTAATTGCCATTCGTATTTCCTGCGTTGTAAGATGCATGCGCAATGAAGTTACTCAAATTTAAATTAATACTCTAAGTTTTGTGTTATGTTCTAAACGGCTAACGCCATTCTTGTTCCTGTTGTATTTTAAATCTAATTCTTTATCTTTAAATTATGTTCTAATTTTGCAGGGATGCTTGTATATTAGGGGGATCAATGCTATTCAATTTTGGTAGTTAAAGGTTGGGGATGATAAATCATATCTTGAGTACTGTTGGACTTAATGGCGATTTTACTTCATATCTAATCTCAAAATTAAGCTTTTTGTCATTTTATAATAACTAAAAATATAAAAAGTTATGCAATTTGTTCCTGGATTTTTTATTAGATTATTTAACAACTCTTACTAGTCAAGACACCACCTGGTGCAGAAGGAAAATTGTAATGTATAGTGGAGTTGATCTGTATGAAGATGACTCAAATTCATTCTTAGAAGATAGTAGTTTGTGGCTGTAGATAGAATATGGCAACACTTGTCTTAATAACCCAATTTTTAACTCAATTACATAAAAGCATATAAATCACTTAGAGTTAGGTTTTGTAGCAAATAGCTGGATTGATCCAAAGATTTTGGTAAAGAGTTCATAAGAACATATCTTTCCTAGCAAGAGAAATTTAAGTACATTAAAACAAATGAAATACTTCTTGTTGTCATATTATTGTACTGACTAAAAATGTACGTTTTTATGATAGTTTTATTGACCATTGCATAGCATCACTTCTAGGTGGTAATTTTTTTTTGTACTTGTCAAATTTGTTTTATTGTTTAAAAATTTTACATCGTATTTCATTAGGTGAACCACTCAGTTTGCTTCTTCCCCATTTTAAAGTTTGGTTACTCAGTCCTGTATCAGATGAGGTTAAAACAGAATGGAAATGTCACAAATATTGTGCTCGGCAAAACACTCATGTGCAACACATACATCCAGGACTCCAATAGGTCACATGCACCAGGACTCCAATAGGTCACACTTTCATTTATCTTAGTGCAAATTTCACAATTCCATTGTTTTAACTTTTACAATAAAATGTTTTGTGGAATTTTATCTACATGATTACAAAAATTGGTTGCTTTTCAATTACAATATATTTTTTCATTATATATATATTTTAATTTAATATATATATTTTTTTATATATATAAAATTACTTAAATACAGATTTTAAGGATTATTTTTGATTCCACAGATAGGTATTTTTAATCTACATAAATAACAATAAATTTTAAATGCTTTCTTTATGATTTAAATGAAAATTTATAAAAATTACATCTAGTAGTTTGGCAATCAAACAGTGGTTTGATGGTGTTTAATGTGTTCAACACTCTGTAAAGGACAATTAATCAACACTTGGTATTGAAGTGCCTTTATGAAATGCTAAACCACTGTTGGATATGGAAGTGTTAATTGTCAAAAACTTTAAAATGTTCTCTTACACTTTACAGCATTGCTACTTGAATTTCGATGAAAGAAATTTGTTTGCAAAAAGTGTTTTGTTTTAGAGTGCATTATTGGCAATGATAACAGTCATTGCTGAGCTGTCCCCAAATGTTAATGTATGGAATGACATTTTATCTGTAGAGGCAAAAATGCTGCTGTTACATAAGGCATGATTTTATTTTTGTTACCAATGGCAAACAATGGACAATACCATGTGTAATCAGTTTCATTGAATGAAATGGTCGTCTCTGTCTGTCTGTCTGTCTGTCTGTGTGTGTGCGCGCGCGCGCGCACGTATGTGTAACCAATCAAACATAGCACAAAAGCACTGAAAAGTATGGTCATGAACCAAAATTTTGAGCTGAAGACCTTGATGTAAGAGTGTAAAATTTATTTAAAATGAAATGATAATTTTCTTATTTGAAATATACTATATTAAAGATATAGGTGTGTGTAATAATAATTCTTATAAAAAGTCAGTTTATAATAAAATGTAACATTGATTTTAAATATGATTTTAGTGTTTTTAAAGCATGTCTTAAAAACTTATCATTTTTAGAAATGTTACAACAAGGTGCATATAATTTTGAACAGCAAGCCATGAAACTGAAAAGGAAATATTGGTGGAAAAATTGCAAGGTGAGAAAATACTATACTGAATTTCTGTAGATGATGATATAAATTTCATCAATTTATAAATTATTAAATTATAATTTATTTTTGGCTAAATATGAAAGTGTTTTGAGATTTAAATGTGTCATTTTAAATGTTTGAGCAAAGCTTTATATTACTAGTAAAGTATAATTATTTGCTGAATATAAATAAATATAAATATGTAGCAATATATTACATTAAAATATTTAAACATATTAAATATTAAACAAATAGATTTTTATTTTGCAATATTTTAGATGCATTCTTAATACTTTTTTTGAACTGTTTTGAGAAATTTTGTAACATAATTGGAATATTTCTAAGACTACATTCTGTTCAAATTTTTAGTTTTGGTAGTGGTTTTGAATCTAAATATAATGAATAATATGCTCATATAGGCTAACACTAACCATATTCAGTAAGTGGATGTCAGATTTAATAATGTATTTTCAAAAATACAGTTTTGAAGTATTGTCATATTTATTTGGAATAAAATCAGAATATGTAAGAAATTCTCTTCATCAAATGACAAATTTTTATGATTTTTGATATTTGCATAAAAATGTTTGAGACCTAAACAGAGTTTTTAATAATTGAGAATTAGAATCAAAATAAGATTAATTTATTCACAGTAGAATTAGTTTGTTGCAGATTGTTTTTTGGTTACATTGATTGAGATTTGATTATTTGAATTTTTTTTTTTAGATAAGAAATTTTTGATTCTTTTTTTCTCCTTACATAGTCACAAACTAAATGAAAGGAATATGTTTATCTATAAATATTTAATTAGAATAAAATCAGTGTGTCATAATAATCAGAATAAAATCATAAAGTGTAATAAATATGATTGTTTTATAATATTTTAAGATTCAAACATTGAAAGAAGAAAAATTTCTTTTATCTAAGGATGATTTAATAGTAAAATATTTATTTTAAATTTTCTTTAATTTATCTTTCAAAGTAAAATTAAAGTATTTCATTATTAAAATATTTGTATGTATTTTTATTTTATTATTAAATGTTTTATTTTTATTAAATTGTCTTGTATTGAGGCTGGATATAGTTAAATGAGAACAAATCAGGATGTAATGGTAATCATCTCATTCTCATAAAACTAAATAGGTTTCTTGTGATTTGATTGAGAATTGAATTTTTATATTTCATCGCCTTTGAATTTGGAAGATTTTCAGAGTCATTTTCTCTTATCTATAAATACTACTAATCTGTATGATATAACATTCATTTGATAGTAACAAAACTTACATAAAGATAGATCCCTCTAAATTTTATTCAGTGTTTATCTATAGTTATATAATTATTTTTAGTAATGATTATAAAACTAAAAAGATAGAATAATTAATAATAAAAATATCTATAAAACCAATGTTGAACAATACATATTAGATATTGGCAAAATTGCTTGTTCAAATACAATGAGATTTTAATCAGAAATACAGTAAAACTGCTCTAACTCAAAGCTCCAAGGAGCAGGAAAAAACATTGGGTTACAGATGATTTGCATTAGAGAACAATAGAGTAAAAAGAATTTTGATTCTGAATAGATTTGTACTTTTACCTCTCTTGCATTATATAAAGAACTTTTTATAGTTTATTTTTAAACAGCTCATGTAATGCCTTCAGCAAAGTGTTCATGTAACTAGTGGAATTGAAGTTTTGCAGGTACTGTACCTGATGATGATATAAATTGTGATGTCTCAACTTTGGACTGGAATTTTGTTTGAAAATTGGTATTGGAGAGCAAATACATCTTTCTGAAAATTTCATAGAAGTGTAATAATTAGGAAATCTAAGAATAAATATTAAAATTGAAGTTGAAAGTAACAAAATCGATGTTGGGGAACCATGAAAAAACTTTGACTTGGAGAAAATTCAAGTTGGAGGCATTAAATCCCTATGCTGTTCCATTGAGACCAACCAAGTGCTTTGTTTTCTTAGTGTTAAAGAAATATTAAGAGATGTTTGAGTTAGAAAACTTTACTATAATATGAAGATATATATATATATATAGCTATGAAGTAAATAATAAAAAATCTTGGCAGATGGTGTTTTAATTTTTAAAATACAAAAAATTTCACAAACTTCTTCACTTTCCTTCCTTTTTTGTGTCCATCAGCAGTCCAGAACAAATTTATATGTGGAGACAACCTTTCTTTAGAGGCTACAGCCCCGCAACAATATGCAAACTGGAACAGCGGGGCCATAGCCTCTAAGGAAAGGTTGTCTCCACACACAAATTTGTTCTGGACTGCTGATGGACACAAAAGACAGAAGGAAAGCGAAGAAGTTTGTGAAATTTTTGTATTTGTATTCTTTTTCTTTTTTCTAAAAACCTTTTTTGTATATCCTGCTATACCTTTTTTGTAAGCAGTTGAATTGAAAAATGCATCCTGATCTGTTTTTTAATTAGTGTGTTAATGTCATATTTTTATTTAGTTTTGAACAAGTCTGTTTGCAGTTAAGTTGATATAATTTTAAATTGAATTATTATTTGAATTTTTAATGTTAAAATGATAAATTTTTTTATTATTGCATGATAAATTTTTATAGATGTGGGCAATCATAATTGGAATTGTTCTTGTTATAATTATTGCAATTATTGGTAAGTTTTTATTTTTTTTTAATTGCTTTTTGTTGCATGATATTATTTTTTAATACTTTGTTTGCTTTGTTTACATGAAATTTATTTTAATTTTTTCACCTTAGAAATTAAAAACAGGAGTTAATATTTTGATATATCAAATTAAAATATTTAAATTTAACTCCATTTAATTCATAATTAGGAATCATTAGTTCTAATAGGAAGTGAAGAATATTTTTGTATTTTTATAATTTTAAATTGGTTAATATTTTAATTTTTTATGGGAAGCTTTATTTTTGATGTGTGATTTTCTAGCAAACAATTTTTTATGGAAAACTTAAGTATATTTGTAATATTTCAAATGAATTTTTACTAAGTGCAAAACATCCTTTTATTTTTAAGACAACATATTAAGTCAAAAATAACTTACAGGTGTTAGTCTTGAATACATAAAATGTTTTGCTTTCCAGTTTATCATGCAAAACTTTACTGAAAATGTGAAAAAAATATGAATTTTTAAATTTTTATTTATAACATATTGCCTTACCTTTTAACAGCATGCCATAATAACTGACCCAGTTTATTATATAACGAAAATGCTTGCTTGTCATGGACTTAGCTCAGTTGCTTTTGGAAGAATACATACAGATCACAATGGAATAATAATACTGATATTTACTACATTCCAGGCAGAATGAACCCTTTTATATAATCCCATGATACTTACATGAATAAACTTCTTAAAGACAGGATGAGAAAAAAATGAGAAGCTGGGTTGTTAATTAACAAGGTTCATAAACAAAGTCTGCTTCCTATGAAAGTTGTAAAATGAGTTTTTGATGCATGGAGAAACATAATGAGATTATTAAGTAATCATTTGAGCAAAATGGATTATGCCTACCTCAAACAGTCCTTTTTGCATTCTAGTCTTAGCATGTGTAGAAAAGGGATGTGTACCAGAACTTGTACACTTTGGAGGATCTACTGGAAAGCAAGTATGAAAGTGACAGCGATTCAGAAGTTATGAGTAAAATTAATTCAAGCAGTGGAATAAGACAATTTTCTATTGTTTCAGAATTCTCAGAACAGTGGTGAAATTTAAATTGTGTGTGTGTAACTATAGTTTAACTTCAAAAAAAAATTGCATGGTTTCTATACAAATATAACCATCTAAGTCTGTTATATTAAAACCAAATGATTCTGAATTAGTCCCTATCTGGGCCAATTCTTTTCTTCTAGAGCCTTCCAAATTGATAAATATTAATTCAATTATAATTATTAAATCTAGTAAGATATGGTGCTTATCACCTACTTCTAAGCCAAATTACTTAGCATTTTATTATTAATAGTAGCAGTAATAAAGCCTAATATAATCCTGCAATCATTTGGCTTTAGTATGGTTTATAGTACAGTATATAAATGTAGACAGATTTCCTCATCTACTTTTTAATTTGAATGTAACAACATGCCTCTATTCTGGTATAATGGCATGGTCACTTATGCAGCATGCTGTTAAAGACAGGATATGTTGTGTGTGACCGAAATGAAATAAGTTTTGATTTACATCCAAAATTCAAATTCTTAAATTAAAAAATTGTTTTGAAAATATTTGTAACTGTTTCAGTTCAATTTTGATTTATTGTACAGTAGAGCATTGATTATCCAAATCAGTTGTGGACAGGGGTTGTTCAGAAAATCGGATAACCGATTATGTATGAAAAAATACATTATTAATATAGTATATTAGTATATCCCAATAATAGTGACTTAATATATCCAACGTTTAAATTTTTCTCCGTTGCATGTCGCTTTGCATTGAGTTTTCGTTGATGATAAGCCTAACGAAAATTTTCATAATAATAATCGTGGCTATTGTATCATTAAAAAATATTTCTTTATTTTGTACAAACAAAATAAATATATTGAAAAATATAAAAACAAAAAAAAATTGTACTTTAGAAGTTAATCTAGTATCAAAAATGTTCGATTCAGCATGACACAGTCCAACTGAAACGCTTTCAGTTAACTGACGTTTTGGTTGATTGGCATTTAGATAATTGACACTCTACTGTATTTCAATTTCATTTCTAGTCTAATTGTAGAATTAAAAATATAAATTTGGATAAAGATGTCAATAAAAAGTACAATTTATATCTATTTGAACACTGTTGTTTGTTGGGTTTTTAATGTTTAAGTTTACATCTGACAGATATAAACTTACACCAAATGTTAGTTTAGTAAAAGTTTAGTGCCTGAACTATAGAAAGGTTTTATTCATTCTTTGAATCCAGTTGGCAGTTTAATTTTTGTAATTTTAGCAGTGGGGAATATGAATCCAAAATTGGAAGAGGAAAACTAATTACTCTTTATGGCTTGTTTATATGAAGGAAGGAATAGAACAGTGGAATTTGCTATAAGTATAATTCATTAATCATCAACACCTGATTTAAACATCACAACTTTTTACTTGGAGAGTACTTGGACAAGAGAAGATAGGAAATAAACTAATACATAAATTCAATAAAAAAAAAAACCATTTTTGGATTGTACAAGTGTCATAATCTCATAAAGCTTTCTGAAATTAATAAAAATAGAAAAATGGAAATGCTTTTGAAGTGTAAACTTTTAGAAAATTTAATTAAATATGAAACACTCACAAAATGAGCAATTATTTATTGTGATATCATCACAGTGCAATTTTTATTTAATTTTAATTTAAAATATATGCTCTCCATCTCAGATAAGTAGTGGCTTGTCCCTGTACGTCATACTTTTCCTTTAACAATAGTTGTGCTAGTCATCTATCTAACATATTTCAGGGAAAATTTTTGAATTGAAATAACATGACTTCAGGTTCAAACTGGAAGTTTATGTATAGTTAGTTGGACCTCTTGTTGCCACTAAGGTTTCCATATTTGGTCTCCTCTTTCATCTGTTTAACTCTGTTCTCAAAATTAAGGAAAGACAATGGAAATTTATAGGTTACAATTTTTCAAATTGCAGCCCAACAATTAAATAATGCATTAATGCTGACAATATTTTTAGTCTTGTAATAACAAAATCTCAAGATTATGAGAAGAAATGTAACTAATATATAGTAGATGACTCAAATTCTAGAAAAAAAAAGTTAAAGGAAATTGAAAGTCAAGAATGAGCAGGATGCAGAAAACAAATATACAGAAAATTAGGAAGAACAATGAAAATAATATGAAGAAACTCTAAGAATGTCAATGTAATAACAGATAGATCCACTTTTCAATCTATCCTTTCTATCAAAGATGGAAATAGAAAAATATTGATACGAAAAGGTGCATAGTTTTTCCATCTCTTTCTTAACATTTTTACATAAGGCATTAAATATCTAGAATGAAGATAAGAGAAACTAAAGAACAGATTATTTATCCTTTTTGAAAGTTACATGTGTGATTAAATAAGCTTAAAACTGGGAAAGTTGCTAGTATGGTTAGTCTACACATTGAAATTTTTAAACAGGAGAAAATGGAATACCTTCATAACAAAGATTTTTAATAAAATATTAAATAGTGACAATATCCCAAGTGATCTTGCTGATTTACTTATTCATATTCCTTAATCTTTGGGAACATTAGATTGCAATAAACACGTGACTATAGACTTATTGTTCCATGTCTAAAATCCTGATGAACATAATAGCTCTCAATTATTAGTTCAATTCTATGGTTAAGTGATACATAGTTTGGTTTTTGTAAAAGTAGAGAAGCCATAATTATGCTCAGACTTATGGTGATGGCAAACAACATATGTCCTTCTCTGCTTTATTGATTATTAGAAGGATTTCTGCAGATTAAATCATTGAATACTGTGACATCCAAAAAAAATTGGGAATTAATCCAGACAGTGTCATGAGCAGAATTTATATTAAACAGAGAAAATACTTTTGTAATATACTGTAAGGAATAGTAAATGCAGTGCATTCAATAATCATGGAAGTGCATAAGAAACTTACTGTAACTTATAACTTAACTTATAAGTTAACTAATAACTTTTTTGATGATAAATGAATTCTAAGGAGTAAAGTATTACACTATAATCAAGGAGCCGAAAGGTTTTTCAGGATTACACATCATCAGATCCTAGGAAAATTCAAAAATAAATTTTGAATTCCATGACATTTTAGCAGTTTGTACATATACAAATGTGAATATGCAAATGGACATTAATCTATTTATTGTTTCCTATTGTAATCTTATGAAATGCAGTATGTAAGAAAGAGGATCAATTGGACAGCGCAAGTAATGAAGGAAGTTTTAAGGAAAACAAATACAAAACTTCTGCTCAACAAATGTAGTCTTCTCAACATCTCATGATGTCATCTAATAAGACATGCCTATCAAGAGAAACTGCAATTGGATGACTAGACAATGGACTGGAAGAGATCTGAGAAGAGCTTAGGATCATAAGTTGTAATCTTGCAACAGAAGAAAGCCATACTAGAAATCAAATATTACAGCAACACTTATCTGGTGACTTGAATTAAATTTTAAAAACCATTGGATGTTAGTGCACTTTATGAAATCTTTGAATCTTTTATTTTATAGAATTAACTGCTAATAACAAAAAAAATGAACTTGAAGCAATGTAAAGAAAGACAAGTAGATTGAATCAGATCTTCTGGAAATTAAGCTAATCATAACACTAAATTACACTTCAAATTTCAAATGTAATTAAAGTATTAATCATTAATATAATCTAGTAATTTGTTGATACATGAATTAAATATTCTATAATTATATACTTATAATTTACAGATTTATCAATAATGTAGCATTTGTTTTTCAAACAATAGTCTGTTTCTAAAGTAGAATTTATTAGTTATTTAATTGTATAGATTGGCTTGTTGTTATAAAAGTTCTTTAATTATAATTTTACTATTTCAGTTTATGCAGTTCAAGCAAATTCCTAATGTTGTAAGTATTTATTTATTATGTCGTAATTTTAAGTCAATTTAAACAATTTAAATACTGAATACTTTATGTTTCAGTTTACATATGGAAGTATTAGGTTAACATCACTGAGATTTCACCAAAATATCGTTTGTATTATAGCTTGAATCTTTGTATATGGTTAAATTTAGCTTCATGAAATGTGGATATAATACTTCCAATACTGCCTTATTCATTTTATAAAAAAATTTATTGTGTGTGTGTATAGAAATCAAATATATGAAACTGTGAGGGAATGGATTTTGTGTATGTATATTTAAAAATATCTATTTTGTAATATTCTCAGCAAAATGATAAAGGTTATTGTTATTTAAAGATTATTCAGCTATTATTAAAAATATTATTTCATTCCATTAGTTATTTAAAACAAGTTTAAAACTTAATTGTAAATTTATTGTGAATAAAATTCAGTTTTGAGAGATTTCTTTTAAACATAGTTTATTTAAAGTAACCTACTTATAAATTAGTCAGAACAATTACTATGTGAAGATTATTATGTGATATACAGTATTATTATTAACCATGGCATTTTTATAACTGGTAGATGTGAACTTGTGAACATTATTATTCACAAGTTTGATAAAACTAAGGTTAACATTTCTGTTTCCATATTTGTAAAGAGATTCCCAGAAACATCAATAAAATTTTGTACTTTGAAATGTAGTGTTTTGTACTTCTTAATAATAAAAAACATCATCCATTTATAAGTCAACTTTTATTCATGGGCAAAATATTTTGACGATATTTTTAACTATTTGTATTTATTTATTTTTTAATTTTATTTAAATGAGAATTATATTCGTTCCGAAAATAAGATGAAAAAGTGCAACATTTTAAATCCTTGTCGTCCGAATGGCTGAGATAGTAGTAAGCAGACGTCTATCTATGGGGCAACGAGCGAGCAACTATCCAGAAGTTTATCGGAAGGTAATCAGTGACCAAGTGGTTAATTAATGACCAAAATTTTATAAAATTACCATTTTTGCAAACCTTCTGCTTGGAGTTAGTTCTTTTATAGTCATCTATATCAGCATTTCTCAAATTATGGATCATATTAAAATTTTAATGTGTTGCGAAATGAAGTTATTTGTTACAAATCGAAATTGGCACGAATCGCTCTTAAAACAATTTACACAAAAAGATTTTAAATAGCTAACGAGCAGTTATTTATTGTGACTATGTCACAATGCCGGGCTGCTATTTTTTTAATTTAAAATATATGCTCCCACCTCAAATTAGTGGTGGCTTTGCCCCTGTACAACATACTTTTTCTTTAACAATAGTCATGCCAGTCACCTATCTAACACCTTTCGGGAAAATTTTTGAGTTGAAATAACATACTTAAGGTTCAAACTGAAAGTTCATATATTGTTACTTGTTACCTCCTGCGCCAAGGTTTCTACATCTGATCTTGTCTTTCATCTAACTCTGTTCTCGAGATTAAGGACGACAGTGAGAATTTATAGGACAATTTTTTCAAATGAAGTCCAATTAATAAGGTGCTCCACAAAAGTATAGAACCGTTCAAAAAATTGTTCTTTTGAGGTCAGAATACGCACTAATAGAAATAGGTGCTGAATTACACACAAAAATCTAACATAAAAACGTAAATTTAGGAAACAGCTTCTAATTTGTGGCTAGCGGCGGTATAGTGTTGAAGTAAATTTATATACTGCCACATAAGTATAGAACCGCCATCTTTCTCGCAAGTTTCAAGTGTGAAAGTATTTTTTTCATCGTGCCTCGTGGTACCCATTTAACAGTTTGAGAAGGACAAATTGTAGGTTTGAAAAGCACTGGTTTAAGTCATCAGGCAGTAGCAAACAGCATCAAGCGTCCGAAAAGTTCGTTCAGCATTATTTGTCAAATCCTGCAAATTATGGACCAAAGCGTAAAAGTGGACGTCCTTCAAAGTTTACCCCGCGAAACTGCAGACGAATTTTTAATGCAACCTCTAATCCATCGCGTCCACGCGCCAAATTCGGGGCGATTTGGGTATTCAAATACATCATGAAGCCGTTCGAAGTGTTTTACATGGCAACAACAACAACAATGTTCTGTCTCGAATGAGAAGCGCCCCTGCTCTTAGGTCTGAGCACACAACTGCCTGACTCATTTTTGCTAAGAAAAATATGGCCACTCAATGGAATAAGGTAAGTTTTTTGTTTCGTTTAGACGTATTGTGCTAGCACAAGAAATAACAACCTTTTTATCGTATAGGTAATCTTTTCGGACGAAAAAAAATGTAATTTGGATGGGCCAGGCCAGATGGTTTAGCGTTCTATTGGCGTGATTTATAAAAAGAGCCCAAGTACTTTTCGCGAAGGAACTTCGGTGGTAGGAGTGTTATTGTTTGGGATACTTTTTCTGCATGTGAAAAATTAGATTTGGCATTGGTTACTTGTCGCATGAATAGTGCCGACTATCAACAAGTTCTGGAGAACAAATTGCTGCCGTACAAACGTAGACTCAGAAGAATTCTGGTTATTTTCCAACAGGACAACGCATCTATCCATGTATCATGAGATGCGAAATAATAGTTTGAAAATAAACGGATTGGCCAGTTCGTTCTCCTGATTGCAATCCCTATAGAAAACGTTTGGGGAATCGTGGTCGAATTTATGACCAAAATCGTTAGTATGCCGACGTTGTACACTTAAATAATTGTCACTGTTTGGCATAAAAATCTTGTTGATAGCGTGCCAAACCGCATTTTCGATGTTATTAGTAAAGGAGGTGCGCAAATAAATATGTAAATTAAACTATTTTGTAGTATTTAATTTTTTTTGAATTCACTTACTAGTCGATTTTATACTTTTGTGGTGCTTAAAATCAGTTTTTTACAATTTATACTGTTCGCTGCAATACAGGAAACGACTATTTTCGACGAATTATGTTTTCATAAATTCTGAACATTATGAGAAAGATTACTATATCATACGTGTAATTCCTAACCTTCGTATAGTAAATTTGCAGCGGTTCTATACTTTCGTGGAGCACCTTATTAGAATAACTAGGTTTATAATTAAGTTACTTCTTTCAATATTCTTCAGTGCATGTTGCAAATTAAATGACGAAGTGAACTACTAATTGCGAATTACGCAAAAATACTAGTTCATATATCGAACAAACGAGTTTAAACATTTAATGATAAATATCGCATAAACATTAACAAAAAATAGTATTTTTTCGGAATTGTATGCAGTAAACTAATCTTTATTTAAATTAATTCATTATAAGCAATTAAACATATTCAAAAATTTTGTTTGAATGTTTTTTCCCTCTTGTGTTTTTAATCTATCAGACTAGAGGTTGTTCCGACCTTCTTCAAATAACAACTATAACGAGAAAGGAATTATGAAACTATCATCTTTCACCTCTAAAGTCGGGACAGATTGAGTATTTTTCCCTAGTGTTTTTAAAAACAATGTTTTTGAATAATTTATATAATTAGAGGGCTATGAAAGGGGTTTTAAAATTCGCTACATTTAGCTGAATATACAGAGAACAAGACTTCTTTCACAGACATATGCTGTGTTGAAATAAATCGCAATGAAAACCACCAGCTTCAAGAAATTGCAGAAAAATCCTGTATTGTAAAATCGTAACGCTCTTACGAAGGAAGTTATTTAAACAGAGGGCAGTGAATGGTTTATATACACTTTCATTCAATTCATTTGTATTAAGATTCGTATATTAAACCAGGTGAGGAGCTCGTGATCTCTTGTAGCTTGTATAGAAACCTGATCTGTTGTGAAACTATGTTTAACGTATTCCATTAGTATTCAAATGTAATATCTGTGCACTTACAATATGTACGCGAATACTGAATGTATTCATTTATTCAGTACAAAATTGTATTTCAGATTATATAAATCCTTTTAAAAGGAAATTTGGCCTTTCCATTATAAAACGATTACCCAATTTTGCATTAGAATATATTGTAAACTTAATGATTAATTGAAACAAATTTTAAGATGATAATTATCAAGGAAGCCTAACTTTTACTTAATCATTTTACAAATTTTGTATTGAAATTTTTTAACGTAGAAATAATAATTAACTCAATATCTCTTAAAAATAACTTTTCCGCACGATATTTCATCGATTATATTTTGTCTTTTAAGTTCATTGGCACAATCAGTGCCATGCAATTGATTGTCTTGTGTAGACTGCTTTTCGTTAATGTGAAATAGAATCTCTTCGATATCATCAAGCAATGAGACTTCATGTTTAGGACGCAATTTTACCCATAAATCTTTTGAATTGTTTTCCACGTGATGCATATATAAAGTTTTATGCGAATTCTTTACATGTTCTGATCCAAGATGACCTTTGGAGATTGCATTTTAGACATGTCAGGATGATCTTTTTCGTAGAAATAGCAAGTGGCATACTTTTGGAAGCGAACACTATCATTATGTTTACTTGTATTCTTACTTTTTTCCGAAAGAAGAAAAAGGTTTGTCTTTTTCAATTTTGATTACAATGAATTTTTCAAAATTGAAAGTGGTTTCACTTTGAACTCGACTTCTTTGTGTGTCAAATCCGGTTGTAGAATAACTTATACGTATTCAATTTGTTGATATCGTGCGTTGTGAAACGTTCTTCGATTTGTGTTTCTTTATCGAGTTTATATATATTTGGACGAGAATAATTATATTCGTATATAGCAGGTTTTTCATAAATTATTAATGAGAAATGGTCGCATCAATTTAAGGTCGTTTTTGTCACGAAGTAACTCGGGAAAGTTTCTATTTATGTGCGATAATGCAACCCTTGATATCTGTGTCTCAACTCGATGTTTGCACGATAAAAATAATTTTATTACAATAAATGTAAGGACGCAAGACATTAGAAATGTTGCGGTAAAGCCAAAGACGTAGATGAACATTTCGTGTTTGATGATCCAGGAATATTTTGAGTCAAAATATTCTTCAGAATGTCTAGATTTCGACTCACTATAATTTAGGAGAGAATTGTTGTTGGTACGAATTTCTCCAAGCAAATTTGTTTTGTCTCTAACTTTCTTTTTATGTCGTTTTTGGGTGTCGTATACTGAATAGTCCTCATATGGAGAACGATACGAATTTTGAATCGTTTTACTCAAATTCTTCTTGTGTAAAGCGTCCATTTTGTTGTTATGCGACTCAGTAGGATACTTCCTGTATTGACCAGTCTTTGAAGAATTTTCTTCCAATACTTGGTATGGATTTTTAACGAATCTCCTTTTATTGTTTGGTGTAACATCGAAATTAGAGAAGAATTTGGATGGAACTCTATTTTTCTTTTTTGTTTCTACCTTCCAACTTATCTTCGATGGAAACTTATCATTTGTAGGGACTTCAAAGAAGGAACCTCTTGGAGTCTTGTCTGGCGTTTTGGACATAATTCGGTACGTCATGATGAAATTCTTGATTTCATTTTGTTTCTCGGGTCGAATGTTAAGCTCCCATTCGTCCGCTGGGTGAATTTTGTCATATCCTCTCGATGAAATTCCTCTCGCATCGGCTGACACATCAAGGAATATCAAAATAAATATAGAAATTACAAGCATTTCTATGACTTCGGCAATAATTGCAGAAAATAACATTTTGTAAGCGCTTCAAAATTACTGTCAACAATTAAATGTTAATAATCCTGAATACTGTTTTATTAA